ACAGGTGCGATATTAACATATTATTATAATACATATTTATGTGTACCTATCTACTTATCACATTAAACCTAACAAAATGTCTTTAAATCATATTTTGTATTACCTAATTGTATACTCAACACCAGAAAATATGGATTAGTATGCTATACAAATAATCTATAGACAAGCTAAAAAATGCAAAATAAAAGTTTCATCATATTTTAAAGCATCTGTTACATGACTTGAATTATGTACTTTTGGAATACACTGTCCTCCCCCTTCCACAAAAAAATGCACTTTGTATTGATATTCGGTCACTAGTCATATAATATACATTTTATATGGTAAATATTTGTGATTGGATTTGGAACTCAAGGACTTTGTGTTTTGCGTTTTTAAAGGAAGCTGATTATTCAAATGGTGACAATCAAACAGAAGCTTCTCAGGATCAAAAGATCATAGAAAAGTACAAGAGTAATGATGTAAAAGGTAAAAAAAAACATTTATTTGTACATTTTTCTTTTTTCAATTTATTTAATCTTCAATACATTTTATTGTGATAATCATATCAACATTTTTCAGAGGTCGTTTATCGGGTACTTCATATTCCATTTGTCAGTCTAAAAACAATAAATTTGTCGAACAATTTGATAGCTCACAATTCTTCGGTGCTGCCGTTAATTGGTTGGCCATCATTGGAGAATGTTATATTAACGGCAAATACCATTAGTTTGAATAAAAATTTGATAGAATTCAAAAATTTGTCATCAACCTTAAGTATGTTTAATATTAATGCCAAACGATAGTGAAAAGTTTTTAAAAAAAAAATAAAGCTACTTTAATTTTAGAAATTGTTGCCAATTTCTTCTTAGTTTGAGCCATTATCAATAATTTTATTGATTATTAAATGAGTTAAAAATTATAAAATATCACTTTTACATCATTATATTTTAGATTTTGTGTAGATCTTTACAATGATGTGTGTTTTTTATTGTGCTTTTGGCACGATAAGTAGTCGAAGTAATGCTTCAATTTTCAATTTCATCGCAGTATATCTTTTTTTGGCTGGAAAGTGAATCTTGTTAGTTCATCTGGGAGATAAAAATTAAAAATTTTCAATAGTTTTCAAAAGTGCCAGTAAAAAACAAAAGAACAATTAAACGTGAATTTTATAAAATCAGTTTAAGACAAAATCGATTTTGTTTTTTGGTGTAAGTCAAAAACTTATAAGTTATAACTTTATAGACAATTTAAATTTTCACCATATGCTTATATATGCATATATGACCATTTTTCATACCACATACAATTTTCAACATTTTTGACTCTTTTTGAGTGATTTTTATTAATTGTCAGAGTCAAAAATTAAAAGATCCAAATAATTAATGAACTTTTATTAACTATTGGTTATTTTTTAATAACATAATTAAAATTTTGGAATTTATATTTTTATATTTGACATGTATATTGTAGGAGTGTTGTCAGTTGTCCACTTGATGGTCACAAAGGAAAAAAAAAACATCACCATATTTTTGCTCATTAGTTCTTTTACCCTAAATGTTATTGTACTACGAAAATAAGAAAACAGTAAAATACACATATTATGTTGACATATTTTTGTTTTTTTGTGTATATACCTACGCGCAGTATCATCTCAGTATCACAGAATACTATAGGTATGTTAATGTAATATCGCAATGGTATGCAACTGCCTAGAATGCAATTTGATAAACTGAAAATCCAACTAAAATATCAATATTGCTTGATTCTATCTGTATATTCAAATTGATTTCGTTATTACATTATTAAATAAAATAAAATTGTTAATTTTGGAATTTTGAGACCGCAAGTTCTGTTATTCGAAATAGACAGTACTCTTAAGTGCACAGTAATATTGATGACGAAGATGATGACTACATGCAACGAAATATGTTAAAACCCTAGAGGTAAGTAGGTATACACTTCAACTTTTTGGTTATTCCCTCATAACTCAATTTTTTACAGTTCAGACTCCAATAATCCTGCATCTCAATTTTATTATTCATTTAATTCCCATCGAATATAGATATTCAAGGTAACTGTGAAAGTCGACACGAGAATCAACCGGCAACCGCATAATATCGAAATATATACCGATGTATCTTAATCGATAAATATTACTGATATTAGTCGACTGGCATTGCCGATAGCAAAGACGAAAAGTGAGGATTAAATAAAAACTTATTGCTCTGCTTGGAATCTAAAAAATAATTTTTAGACAGGCAATTCTATACATAAAATTGTAAATGACTCATTGGTTTTAGTTCTATTGGTAATATATAGAGAAGTTACACCGTATATTACACTACATACTGATTCGAGGCAGGCAAAAGGGCGAGCATCAGTGTCACCACGCGCTCATCATAAAATTACTGTACAATACTTGTTTTACCTCTTCATATTCAGTACCACTGTTTTTTTGACATTTTGACGAATATAAATACACAATTATTATTATTTAACATTTAATATAACATTTTATTATTGAATATTTATAATATATTTATATTTATATATATTTTTACTATTGAATAATAATGAGTAATATTAATACCGGTAAGATAATAATGATGATAATTATGGCCACAACGTTCCTGCGGGTCTTGGGAATGTAATATCGGCCTACGAAACTCCGCACTTGGGCGAATCAAGCGATTGTGGTCTTGAACACGGTCTCCAGGGAGGCGTGGCATACGTTATCAATAGTACACGAAAACTAAATATTGCTGATGGTTTTCAGGTGGTATTTCATCGCATTTTAGTTTACATTTTCGTAATTTTGTTTTTGTTGGCACATAGATATGCTATCACAAACGTGATAACATTCGTGATACGGTCATAGACCTTATACTAATTATAGACGGTACATGGTAGTAGATCCGGCGTCCACACTTGAGGGCGCTGATCAAGGTAGTACATGTACACCACACATGCGCACAAGAACGATGGGATTGTTCAATGATTGTTCAATAATTCTTAATTTTATCGTACGCCTTATCAATACACACTAAGTACTATCACAGAACAAACAGAAGAGAATCTTAAGGCTCATCGAAAAACCGTCCGATATTTCTGAATTTTAAACGTGCTGCCACATACCGAGAAATTCCCTTTTTTTAAAGTTTTCTGTGGTTTGTGGCTATACTGTTAGTTGGCAATTCCACTCATAACAACAATAACACATGGTCAACCATAGATAATATAAGATTATATTATCTATGTGGCCAACACGTCTGTCGATTTTCGTACTCCATCACGGGTACGTCTCGATTTTTTTGCGCTCCTAAGTCCAAAAGTTTTTTGTATTTGCTGTTATTTGCTTTTATTTGTTTTGATATTGTATACATTATTTACCGAAATATTGTCTTTAAAAATAAAAAAATTAATTGAATTTATACTGTGTAGTAATGTAAATTTTACAGCACTAGAGAGTAGTAAAAGTGAATTTGAAGTATTCCTACTGACTATAGGTACAGGTTATGTAACAATGTCACATACTTCTACCAGTATATTTATTTGAGATAAATCTTCAATTTTTTTTGGCAATTGCGTGTACTAATTACACAAGTAGGTACTATATATATATTTAAAAAATTAGTACTGCTTAGATTATTTAAAAACCAGCGTACGTAATTTGTTTTGTAATCTTCTGTGTACCTATGCATTTTTGTTCATTCATCAACTAAATAATGATAAATAAAATATGTATAGTTTTTGTTTTTCTTACATTCTGTACTTAGATAAATGGCAAAAATGCAATTTCTTAAAAAAAATCGGTTTGATTCTTTGAATATAATAATATATTAAAAATTTGAACGAACAGTGTTGCACGATATAAAGAAAAAAGGGAAATTTCCGGTACGTGGCAGCACGTTTAAAATCAAGAAATGTCGGACGTAGTTTTATCATCTCCCATAAGAGCCCATGTTAAATTAAATGTGATTCCGTTCTGTTTGTTCTGTGCCCTGTGGTACTATTCACAATAGTACAATAACAATAATATTATTGTTATCCTTCCGAATCCGAATTTCTGATTTCAAATTTTCAACGATTTTGCCGTGGTAAGATTTTTCACTTTGTATTTTTATTAGCCACTAGATTTTAGTCTTTAAGTTATCTGTTTTACGACTTTCCTTATTTTTACTAAGATGCCTAGAAAGTGTGTAATTTGCAATGCTTATGATAAAAATAGTGAACAATCATTTTATTCATAAATCATATTTTAACATAATAATTTATTTTTTAAAATTTAATTTATACTCTTAATATTGTACTTTTTTATGTGTAATCTTTTTGTAGATATTAATTAACTTTTTTGACGAAATTTCACACAAGCGAATGAATTATACTATTATTTACTATTTATTTAATCTTGAATTATTTAATCATTTAATTATTTTAACTACAATGTTGACTATTGAATATAAATTGTACAATTAAACGAGTTTACATACATGATATTATTGACTATAGTCTATAATGCATCTATTAAACAAGTATATATATTTTTTATTACCTTTTACTGGCTATTGGTGATACATTTATACTTTATGTTTTTTCTACTGAATCATTCCATCATTAAACATTGCCATTTATCAGAATGGAATAATAATGTATATTATATTATAAAGTATAATATTATGGAAGGTAAGTGTTAATAACAATGTTTTTGGTCGCAAGGAATGGCATCACTGCTGATACGCTAGGAATGACCGCACCACCCTGGATGTCCTGTCTTTTAGTATAAGGTCTATGGATACGGTTCAGCATTGTCAAAAATAATTTTGTGTGGTTATGTTTTGATCGTCGTAAAAGTTGTAGCGTGGTTTGCGTTATAATATTTCATGTGTTCACAACGACATTAGTTTTATAATTATCGCGCGTTATAAAGTTTGAATTTTTTTTGTGTTGTTAATAGTTATATAATATAATTAAATATTTTTTTTTAACGTTTAATATTTTTAGCAATATATACTTTTAAAATGGCATACAATCAAGATATCCATTCTCAAACGAAGAATGTAATTTTTCATGTATATAATTATTTCAAGACGATAGCTACTGATAAAAGTAAGCCAGAAATTTCAAATTTTTTTCGGGAAACCCGTATAGTAACTTCAAAAGCATGTGGCGTAAGTGTTGCTAGTGTAAAAAAAGTTTGTTCTGAAGCGAAAAAGAAACTTGAAATCGGACTTTCTAGCCAAATTGCTTTCAAGTCTCCTAGGAAAAGTTATAAACGTGCAAAAGTTAAGACTAATCTTGACGATTTTGACAACGAAGTTGTCAGAAGAATTGTACATAGTTTTTATGATAATGATGAATTTCCGACGACCTCAAAAATATTAGTGGCGATGCGAGAAAAAATTAACTACCCTGGCTCAAAAACGTCAGTTAAAGCTATTTTGCACAATTTGAACTTCAAGTTCAGGAAGTGTAATGATGGGCGTAGATTTCTGATGGAGAGAAATGATATCGTTGCTTGCCGGGTAAAATTTTTAAGAAAAATGTACGCATTGAGGCAGAATAATGATATAAGGCCAGTAGTTTATCTGAACAAAACATGGGTAAACCAGAACCATACTCAAGGTTACATATGTCAAAATCTAGAGAACGCCGAAGGACTCAAAGTATTAGTCGGAAAGGGTGCTCAACTCATAGTATGCCACGCTGGTTCACCCTCATTCGGATTTGTGAAAAATTCAAGATCGGTCTTTCGATGTAAATTGGGTAGTACGAAAGACTACCATTCGCAAATAAACTCAGAAATTTTTGAACAATGGTTTATTGAAATGTTGGCCAATTTAGAAGAACCATGTGTTGTAGTAATGGACACTTCCTACCATTCTGCGCTAGCCGAAGATTACCCTAAGGCAAACGCGCTAAAGGCAGATGTTCAAAAATGGCTTGAAAAAAAATGTATTCCATATTCACCCGTAGAAACATTATGTGAACTACGAGAAAAAGTTAAATTTGCAATACCTAAAGAGAAAAAATATAAACTTGATGAAGTCGCGTTACAAATGGGTCATGAATTGGTAAGATTTCCACCTCACCACAGTTATTACAACCCAATTGAGGTGATTTGGTCGCAAGTCAAGGGTGAAGTCGCTAAAAAAAATTACTCCTACAAGATGGCAGATGTTGAAGTGTTGGTAAACAATGCCTTAAATGAGATCACCAAAGAGGCTTGGGCAAAATATGGCGAAAATTGCAGCAAACAACAAGATGAAGATTTCATAAAGGAGGTTTTAAGGGATGAAATGTTAGAACCCATCATACTTACCATAAATTCCGATGAAAGTTCAACTGATGAAGACGAGAACGACGAGAACGACGAGAACGACGATGACGAATCACTTGATTAATTTTTATAACGACGACGACTTTGTTTATAACTATTTGTAAATATATATTTTTATTATTATTTCTGACTTTTCTTACTATAAAAAGAGTAAAAAAATTTAAAAAAGGTGGGTAAGTGGATATCTCTCTGCTGTAAAGTAGGTTACAAGTGGGTCACTGTTTAATGAATGGTATAAAATTTGAATTCAATGATATTCAACGAAAAACTTTTCTGAGCCGAAACTGTTTTTCAGGTGGATATTTTATATTATATTTATATTGTTATTATTCATTACTAATACGGTAGCTGGTAAGTTGAATTAATATTATAAAATAACTAAAATCGTTATTTTTGGTTATTTAATACTTCATTTCGTCCAAATTTGATCATAAAATAACTACAAAAAAAACTGTGTGTTTATATTTTTGAGATTTTTTGGTTACAGAATATCTTACTGACATGGAACCTTGTTTTGAATTTTCAATCCTTAGATATACAAGTTGAACATTTTATCAAATTTTAACTACGAAATCATTTTTAAATTTTAAATTTGATAAATGTTGTCAAAAATAGAACTTAAATGCTTTAAAAAAAAAATTTTGCCTATGTATTTTTAATATTTTTCAACTGCTTTTTTAACAATATATTAGGAGCCTTATATCAAATTTTCAAATTTTTGACCTAAATAATAAAATTGTATTTAAAACTATTGGGAATTTTAAAAAACGATCTCCCGAATGCACCAACTAGGTTCATTTTCTCATCAAACAAGATACTGAAGTTGAAAATCAAAGCATTATTTCGACTACTTATCTTGTACAGACACAAAAAATAAAAAAATAAAAAAGCACATCATTTTAAAATCAATGAATTCATAGCTCCTCTCGGAATCTAATATAATAAATTAGTAAACTGTAGTTCATTACACGATTTGAAATTATATTTGATGGGAAATCGTTTGGAGTTCCATGTCGTAAATAGGCTGATAGGCGCGTGACGATCGCGGCCTACTTTTCGTAGACCTCACTATAGGAATTTTATATCAGGCCTATGCAACTCATAATCCAATATTCACAAATTACACTCGGTGACATGAAACGTGGCTCCTGCCC